AACTGCAGAGATTTGTGTCTCAACTGCTACATGCAAAGCTGACATGAAGCCTTTCTTAATATCACCAAAGGTTCTGGTCTGTCTTCTGTACCACTGGGGTCATGTACAGAGAAATTCCTTTAGAGCTGTCTTCCCACTGCAACCTCCTGCTTCCAGACCTGTATAGGACAGCAGAGGGAGTAACAGTGCTCAAAACTAAGTGGCCATGGAATGGCAACTAGCTGAACTTCCCTGTTGAGCTGCCACACATCCTGTGTTGCTGCCTTTGATTTAATATTTCCCTTTTCAAGCACTCTGTGTTTGAGCAGCAAGGGATAAAGATCAGGTAAGCCAATATATTACTATCGAAGGGGTTTTGTTTCCTAATATACCTGATTTTAATAAAAATTGGAAATGCAGCACAAGAATGTTTTCTAGATGAAAGGGTGTTTCCAAAAGAAAAATCAGTGAGCCATGCACACAGAATTTTAGTTTTTTGTCATCTATGCATGAAGAATACTATGAATTTTATAGCAAGGCACGTGAAATAAAACATGACATTTTGTTTCTCCAGTATGGGTGTTTCCTTCAAAAGCACAACACAGACCTCTTTGTGAGCATCTGATAAGGGTTGCTCTTGCACTGTTTGTTTTACACTCTCTCTGGAGAGTGTCTCATTCCCAAACTAAAATCCCCAAGAGGATATCCCTTCTAACAAAATTCTTGTCTGGCTCATGTGGTGTAAGGGCTGGAGCCCTTACTGCTGCAAGCTTTCTGCCTGAGCTGTAGTAGCCAGCAGCCAGCCTGGGTGAGAGCATTGCTCCTGTGCCAGCAGTTGTTCCAGACAACATCCTCAGGCTTTCAGAAGCAATCCTGCTCCAGACCTGCAGCACTTTGGACAAGAAGTTTTGTCATCCTAAACAGCTTGCGTGCTAGCCTTGATTTTGGAGGAGAGGATTTCTCAGTGTTTAAGCTTTAGGAAAAATTTCCTGGGTTTGGGACTCTCTATGGGACCTGCCCTCTGTTGCCACCTTCAGAGGATGGTTTAGTCCCTTCTTTCTCTTTTGCGCTCTTGGCTTCTCGAGAACAAGGGCTGGCCTGGAGCCAGTGCTTTTGGACACCATGTCCTGCTGCAGCCCAGCAGTGACCCTTGGGGCAGTTGGTGACAATGATTTGCCTGCTGCCTCCAAGCCACTGCTGCAGGGCTGTGGGTGGTAAAAACAGGCTCTTCCAGCAGTTTCTTCCCAGTGTCTGCAAGGTGGGGGCCTCCAGCAGCCATACTCTGCTGGTTTTTGCCTTTCCTTTGGGAATCTTGGGTCCTGAGGATGATTGCAGCCTCTGGAGTCTCCTAGTGGCTGCTGGTAACATCAATTGGTCTCAGCACCTCCTGAGTTTGCTCTGAAATTTTCCCTTTGCCCTGCCTAAGTCAGAGTGAAGCTGTGTAGGACTGAAGCCTATATGGAGCAGGCAGCACTGCTATGCTGCACAGCAGGTTTGCCCTCAGTACTGGCAGTGGCTGGGGAGGGGGAACCTGCCCTTCTGGAGTCATTCCTGTCACCCACTGCTCTGGCTTGGGCCCCTTCTGGCCACCTAAGTGTAAATCAGTTTAGAAAACTCTGCAGAGGCTCCCCTGTCTGCTTTCTCTCTCTGGTTCCAGATTGCAGCATCCCTTCTGTACTAACCTCCCTTCCCAGGTGGCAGGAAGCTGAGCAGCTTGGGGTGTCTCCCTTGTCCAGCACATCTGTCACCCTGCTCCGGGCTGGCTGCAGTTTTGGACTGCACAGCTGCTGGAGGTGCTGCATGGCTCTGCTCTTGCTCCTCTTCTTCCTCACCACACTTACCCTTCTTGGGCTGCCGGTGCTCACAGCTGGTGCTGCCAGGCTATGGCAATGAAACTGCCAGCCTTGAAGCCTTGAATTGAAAGTGTTTCTGCCTGGGACAGCTCCTTTGTCAATCTGCCTTGAGCCATGAGCCTTCCCTGTGCTGTCACTGCTCAGACTGAACCATGCATCTGTGAACCAAGCCTGGCTGTGGCTGGCAGGCTAAATGAGCTGTGGAGGCAACCAATGTGTTTGGAAAGGCATGAGGTGCTTTGCTAGAAAAGCTCTGCAGCTTTGTGCTGCCAGACATAAGCTTTTTTCCTAACCTTGATGCAAGTGTGGTCAGAGGCAGCTTTTATTGCTAGGAGATGAGGCATTGGGTTTTCAGTAGTCAGAACTTAAAATTCACACCTCTGGATCATTTCCTTCACTGATAGTACCCAAAGCTGCTGCTGTAAGAGAAGGTTTCCTATGCCAAACATTGGCCCTGTAAACAAGCAGCCTAAGGACTTGCTTAAAACAGCCTAAATCTACAATAATCTGGTAACAGTGGGAATCCCACTGCAGGAAGCTGGGTTAATCATCTGCACTACTCTGCAAGTGAAATATTTGTACTTTGATGGCAATTGGTTCTCCTAAAAAGAGTAGATCTTTACAGCATGGTTGGATTGATTCATCAGACCTGGCGGCAGGCTACACAAAAAAAAAAGGTTTTGTGCTTCTCTGTCTCCTTCTCTGGAAAGGCAAGTAGTGCCCATGGGTTCTTGCCATGCTACTCACCTGAAGGGGCTGCTCCTGTGACCACGTGGAGGTGGTTCCCCTTCCAGGACAATGAGGGGCTGTTACTGTTGGCTGTAAGAACAGAATGGTGTGGGGTTTTTTACTTGTCAGAAAGCTAAAGAAATTACATATTAAAAAGCAGAGAAATTATAAGTTCTTTATCAAGCTGCCCATTGTTTTAGAATACAGCCATGATTTCCCTTATTTTCCATGTTAGTGTTCTTTAGTTGCCCTCTTACACGAAGGCTGGTACCAGGCACCACAAATGCTAAGGAAAGAAAAATGGAATAGCATCCATTAGTAAATTCCTTCCATGTTTCTGCACTTCTGGTTTTAGTACTCTACCCCTGATTTACCTGTACAAATAAGAGAGGTCTCTGTTAGAGCTGGCCAGTGTCCTCAGCCGCTTGGGAAGACAGCCCATGGAAGCTGAGCCATTGGCACTGCAACCTGCACTCTCCCAGCAGGAGCCCAGGTGATCTCCCAGCTCCTGATGAAGGCAATCTGTGAGAACTGCTGCTGCTTCTGGAGTAAAGCTAATGTTTGTGTTCATCCTTAAATAACAGCTTAAAGAGTGCAAGCCTTTCCTCCTCCCTTTGCTCCTAGGGTGTGGAAGGGGGAGGATTGCCAACACAGACCAGCAGAACTGTATCTGCTGCAGTGAGGCTGCAAGAGCAGCTGGCAGCAGCAAGCCTCAGCCCTTGTGAGCTGGAAATGATTGCAAAATCTGAATTTCAGAAACAAAAGGCCTGACCATCTTCACCCTAGAGCTTGTTCCTCAGAGCTTGTGTGGTTTTCCCCCCTCAGGCACCCTTCTCATGCTCTGGGCTATGAATGGGACTGGGGAGGAGAGGGGAGTCCCAGATTGATGGTTTCCCTCAGGAAAGCTGCCACAGCTGAAATCTTGTGCTTTAAAGTGCCTGTACAGTTGCCAGATCCATTTAGTGCATAATTCGTTTTGCTCTCAGGGATACACGAGATGTTTTTGCAAATAATGAATTATGTAGAGAAGGGTTTGATTCATTCTGTTTGTTCCAGGTTGGAAACATTAATAGAAGAGCTGGGGAACCTTGAAGCCAAGAGCAAATGCTGTCATCTTGCAGGTCTTGAGGGTGAAGAGTAGCTCTCCTTTAGTCTGCCTGTGTCACCTCACTGGACAGCCTGGCCAGGTTTGGCCTGTGAATGTCTCATCCTTGGTGCCAGCAGTGATACAGACACAAGTGTGTCTTTCAAAGCCACCAACACACGGAGCAGCTCAGAGAAAGCACCAATGCTTTTGTGGGGGCAAGGACAACGAGCAGTTTGGTTTCTAATGTAAAGTAGAGCCCTTACTGTACATTAAAAAAGATTTGGCAGGAATGAAACTCTGAAGCCAATGCCTTGAAGAGTTTTAAAAGCATGACTGTACTTTCCCTGAGCTGTTTTTGAAGAAAGAACTGCACTGTAAAGAAAACCCCAATCCTTGGCTGTACAAATACATGAGGTGTTTTGCTTCTGAAGCAAGTTACTTCTGCTTCTGAAGTCCAGTTCATTGAATTTGCCAGGGCAGTTTTCTGCTGTAAAAACTGTAAATTAAAATAATAGGGGATAAGGGTAAAAGGATGGGGAAAGCCCTGAGAGAACTTCAGAGAGGAGCAAGGCTGAAATCATTTGCTGTCAGGGTACAGGGTCCACAGCTTCAGGCCCTTTCCCTGGAAAAGCTTGCTCCAAGCAGCAGCTGGAGCATGGTGTGCCACTCCACCACCTCTCCTCTCCTTTTGCATGTTCAGCAGATGTTCAAACCTCTCAGACTTTGCCCATCTGGTGTCTCACTCAGCACAGGCAGTTTGGAGCAGCAGTGCCACCCACGGCTACCTGCCTAGGCCCATGTGAAGTAAGTGCTGTGGCCATTAAAGCTATTTCTAGATTCAGGCCGATGTTCAAATGCTCTGTAAGCACTGCCCTGTGCCTTGCTTTCTCTTGTGGCAGGGTTAAAGAACCAGCCCAGCCCAGTCTGTGCCAGGCAGTTTTTGGTACCTGTGTGACCTGTGTGCAAGCAGCAGAAAGCTGCACACGCTTATTTCTGCTAGACAAGCCACTGTCCCTGCTGTGCCACCCTGCCTGGAGCTGGGAAGGGAAGGCAGGAGACAGGTGGCAGCAGCCTGGCAGGCTCTGTGCCCCATGGGACCTGGAACCCCTTGGGCAGTGGCATAATGGTCAGGCTCTTGTGCCTGTGTGGTACCTGCAAACACAGGGATGGTGTCAAAGCTGTGTGCCAGCTGCCCTGTAGTGAGGGGAGACACCATTCCCACACAGCTTTCTGTCACTTCAGATCTCTGTTCCAGCTAGCAATTTTCCAGGCCATGTAATGGTGATGTGATCAAAGTCTGTCTGAAACACTAAAATCTAGAGGGACATGGGTAAGAGAAAACACAGATTTGCTTGAACATTACTCAAAATATTTTAATGTACATGCTTTAGCCACATTAAAGAAGAGGAAAAAAACATCTTACAGAGATGAAAGATGCCAAAGGATGTGATTTCATCATGCCAGAAGCTGTATGTTTCAGAGTGACTGAAGCCAATAGCATCAAAATGCTCTTTTTCTGGTGTATGAAAACCAGATCAAGAGGCACGGAAAGGGAAAAGCAAACATGTATTTAACTGATAGATGAGGCTGTTCTGATCCACCAGGTAAAGATGCAGTCCTGTGGTTTTTAGGGTTTTTAAACAGGTATAAATTTGGTATAAAGGGTACTTTGAACAGTTTTACTCATACATACCTAGTGGGCTGGAACAGCTGTGCTCTGTTGGGTATTTACAGAGAATGATGGAGAACATGTCAATATGCATGAAACTCCTACCACATACATGTGGTTTGAGTCACACCAGTGAGTGTCAGCCAAGGCGAGTGTGGTACCCGGCTCTGTCACAAAGGGAAGTTGAGCAGCCTGTGACAGCCCTGGCTGCGCTCACAGGGGCACCCTGCAGTGAGCCCAGCTCCATTGCAGCCCTGCCTGCCCCTGGGTGGGACCAAGGGCACTACACCCTGCCAAAAACAGCCTCTCAGAGCTCCCCTGTTTCTCTCAAGCCCTTAAAGAAGATAAGGCCAAGATTCAGCTGATGAACCAATACTCCTGAGTGCCACTGGCCACAAAGAGACACTGACTGTTTTCCAAACTACTTATTACAATCAGTGGATATATTGATAATAGAGGTTAAGCCCAATCTAGGGAAGATCCATAAGCATAGCTGGCTTCTAGGCTAACACTAACAGGAGTTTAGACAAGGGCCATGTGTGGACATTACCACCCAGTTGTCCCTTTGCCAGAGTTGCTGGCAAAGCTCCATTCTTTAATCACTGACAGATTTGTCTCCCTCACCAGGCTCAAAAGTGTCAATAGAAGGGAACAGCTGCTTGCCTGGAGACGAGGACTTACTCTAAGCAGTTGTACTCAGTTTAGCAAAACTGTCACTTTTCATTCCGCTGTCACCCAGTTAAACCACCCTCTTCTCAGCAGGCTCCTCACCAATTTTCCAACCGGCCATTGATCCCAGATGCTGTCATAACTCAGGCCTGAGGACAACTAAAGTCAGAGCACTGCCCATAGTAATACCTAATGCCACTGGAGGATCCCACGCCATAAATGCTGAACAGCCTCTGCTATTCCACACTTTCCAAAAGCCAGTGAGATACAGGAGGATTAAAGTAACATTGGGGAAGTTGCATGACAGCAAAATACTGTACAGCAAAAAATGAAAGCTAGTACCTTCTGCATTCTCCCCAACTAATAGAAACAAGGTAGTGTGACAACTACTTTGGAGAAAAGATGGCAGCAAACAGCACAGGGAGATGGAGTAGACATCCTCAGAAAAAATAAAAAGGAAGAAAACATAGGCCTAAGTGACCAGAATGACTTTGCATCACAGGGCTTGTTCTCCTTGCCTTGCAGAAAACCTGTTGTGGGAGCAAGCTGCCTGGCAGGCAGTGACAGCCTGCCCTGCCAGTCCATGGGATTTCTCAGTAGCTCAGGCAGTCCCTCGGGACTGCCCACTTGCCAGGGAGTTCACTCAGCACCCTACACAGGGGAGCTGCACACACCAGAGCCCTCTTTTCTCCTCCCAGGTTTGGTGAAACTGTATCACCCTTAGGGGGACTCCTTTCCAAGCAAGGGTTTTAGCAGTGCTGATGGAACTGGGCTAAAAATCCACAAGGGAGCATTCCCCGCTCTCTCCCCTGGCGAAGCAATTGCAGAGCAGCAAAGGCTGTCACAGACCCTGCCAGAAGGGACATGAATGAGCACTGCTACTCGGTCAGCATGGTCCTTTGTGCAGAGCCCAGCTCATCAGAGAGAATCACACTAAAGCATTGAGCACACGGCTGTTTCAGACACGTGCAGGGTGCACTGCAATGGCCAGGTACCTGACACTGCTTAGCTGTTGTCCAACTGTCTGCACAGACTGTGAAAGAACAAAAATTTTGAGAAACCCAGACATCCATCCATGCATTTAATCAGCTACTAAAGTAGCAAGTTAGAGCAGGGTACCCTATGAACATTTTTTAAGCTCTTAAAAAGGAAAAATTTAATCTCTTCTACTTCAAATACAATGCCTTCTTAACGCATGATGTGCAGGAAGAGACAATGTGTCAAGACCTACAGGTACCAAACACAGCAGACATTCTGAGCATGACTTGTAAGAAGCCCACTCTCAGTACAAAAAAGTACCAAGTGCTGGACCAAATCTCCCCCCAAGAAGAAGGTGACAGTGTTCTGTTTACAAGAAAATACTGCTTCAGTTAAAAATGCTAAAAACCATTCTCTTGAGTTCATATAAAAATAATTATGTCTATGTATGCACACACATATTTACATACATTTATGGCTTTCAGTGCTTCAACCTTCTCCAATAAATGAGGAAATATAAATACTCCATTACTTTTTCTCCTCCTCAGGTTTTTCAGCCTCTGCTTCTGCAATTGATAAGCTGCCACTACCGTATTTTTTTACTCGGGTTTCTACTCTGGCAAGTCTCTGTTTCACCTTTTGTTGAGATGCAGTGTATTCTGCCATGAGCCTTGCAAACCTAGTCTGCAGCGTATCCAGAGCTACTTCAAGTCGTCCTATTTTTTCTTCCAAGTCTTTTGGGTCAGCTCCCGCTTTTGCTGCCTCCTCATCTATTAAATTGTCTTTCATCAGAATTTGACGTCCTTTCTCTTCCAGAGCCTTTTTGGCATCTGGATATTCTGTGAGGGCTTCCATTAAATCATCCTTAGACAAGCAGAACAAATCAGAATAACCAATACTCCTAATGTTGGCTGTCCTCCTGTTGCCAGATTTGCTACCTTTGATGTTTAGGATGCTGATTTCACCAAAGTAGCTGCCATCGCTTAGGACTACAAATTGGGTTATACCATCATCCGCCACCACAGCCAATTTTCCCTCTTTAATAATGTACATTTCTCTTCCAATATCTCCTTTTTTGCAAATGTAGTCACCAGGACTGAAGACCGTAGGTTTCAGTTTCAGCACCAGCTCAATGAGAAGTCCAGCTTCACAATCCTGGAATATACGCACTTTCCTCAGCGTGTCCAAATGGACGTTGATGGCAATTTCAGCCTTCAACTTGTCAGGCAGATTTTTGAGAACTTCCTTCTCATCTACCGTTTTCTTGTTGGTCCAGAGGTAATCAAACCACTTAATAACCCTGGCTTCCAAATCCTTAGTCACCTTTCGGAACTGCATGTACTGTTTAATGGAATCCACTTTGGCCTGGAACTCTGCCCTGGAAGCATTCATGTTGGAAATCATAGAGCCGACGTTCCCGACAATGGTGGCGAAGATGAGCACGCCCACCAGGAAGTCGATGACCACGAAGAGATATTCCTCATCCTTCACCGGGGGCGGTGTCTCCCCGATGGTGGTCAGCGTCAGCGTTGACCAGTACAGACTGTAAATGTACTTCCGGGACAGGCGCGCGTACTCCGGCACGGACACGTTGGGATACACCCAGGTGTCGCTTCCGAACCCGATCACCTTCGATATCGCAAAGTAGATGCAGGCGTTCCAGTGGATGATGATGAGAATGTACAACACCAGATTGCCAATGCGGAACATGTTTGGATAATTTGTCCTGGTCTCAGTACGATCAAAAAACTCAAAGAGCCGAGCGATCCTCAGCAGGCGGTTAAACCGGAGCTCGGGGTAGTTCAAACCAAGCTTGATATATGCCAGGTCTGTTGGCACAAGAGACAGCACGTCCAGTTTGAACTGCACAGTTTTGGTATAATGTTCTCGTAACTTCTTCTCATCCTGAACTAGCAAGCCTTGTTCAAGGAAGCCTTCAGAGAATAAAAAGATTTTACATTAGAATAAAAATACCATCAACAGTAGTGAGTAACTTAACATTTCAGGCTTAAGAAAGTTAAAATTTTTACTGTTATGCCTACAGATACTGAGGTCATTTAATTGCATATTTAAATATTTCAATCAGCTTTCAAAGCTAATATATAATGACTAAGAACAATGATTCTATTATCACCACAGTGCTCCCTGAGGCCTTCTACTCCTTCCTGCGACAGCTGTATCTTTTTAAGTATCTTTGCAAAAAAAAGAGGGATATTCAAGTGTCTAATTTTTCATGAATCATTGGCCTGAGTCATAACTAAAGTTAAGCAAGTGTATATAAAATAGCAGTGGAATATTTTAAAATAAATACCAAGAATAAGTAGGCACAATAGATTGTTGGAAGCCTTTTTCAAACAATATAGATACCCTTGAGATAAAGAAATGCAGTCATCCCCCTCCCTAAATCATGCTTTTCTTCTTGTGTCCAGTGTTAAAGCTGACGTGATTTTCCTTGGTTTGCACTTTGTATTTCTAGTGAGAGAGCTACTAAGCAGACTTTCACACATCAAAATTTCTTCATTCCAAAGACTTTGAAAAGTATTAGATTTAAAAAAATTACAAATAGATATAAACTGCAGTGAGAGACAAGAGCACAGCTCTTTTGTGCCTCTGAGGGCATTAAAAATGTTCTACAAGGAACAGCCTATATAATTGATAGATATCAAATACTTGCTGCAATTGAAGATATCTAACTGTCGGCCCACTGGGCCACTCCGGAGAAAATGTCCACTGAGAAAAAAACAAAACATTCCTGGTGTATCCTGGATTATCACATTTTACTAACCCCTTAGCAATGTACAAGGCACCTACAGCTTTCTCAGGGAAGCCTCTGCTGAGGAACACCAAGCTGCATTTCTTTGTGCCCTACACAGCACGGTATTTCTGGAATGTGTGGTTCATCTGAAAATGCCACATCTATTTGTGTGTATCTGGCTTTGGATCTGCAAACTAACAGCGATTACTAATGGAAGTAGTTCCTGTGCCATGCATGTGCTGCCTCCCAGAACACTGCTGAAAAAGCAGGTCAAATATGCCCTTTGGTTGTACAACTAAACAGAAAAGCTGGCCAGACTGATCAATTTCTGATACACAGTTATGAAAAATAACTTTGAAAACACCTTCCTCCTGAAAGGAGATAAAATCTCTTGGCTTTTTGTTCTCTTATAGAACTGAAGTCTTACAGTAAAATCTTCTGAAAGCATTAGAACACAGGGTATGCTAAACACAACCAGCTGCTGAGACATGAATATTTTCTGTTTCACAATGCACAGTCACCAACCAGGTGAAATGCAGTTCAACTGGCTCTGCAGCTAGACAGAAATGCACCATGGAGAAGCTGCTGATCAGAGAAGTCGTGAGGCCACCTAGATCTCAGTTCCAAGGCAGACCCTGCCCTCAGACAGCAAAGTCTCACTCTTCCCCAAAGGCTTCCAGGACCTCCATCCCCAGGGAAGATGGGCCTTGTGGACTCACATGAAAAGGCAGCAGGCAAAGGCAGAGCCAGAAGGAACTGTTAAGAGAGCTGACAAAGATTTTTGCCACCTAAAAGAAGCAACTTCTTTCTTGGAGTGCCTGGAACTACAGCTGACACCTGCACTGAAGCATTTGGGAGACAGCTCCAGCAATTCTGCAGTTGCAAGCCAGGCCTGAAAATTTGAATTCCAGTCAGGTTTTAACAGCCATATAATCATTATCAGGACAGCCCATGGAAATTTATAACTTGCTTTGCCTGGACATGCATAATTTCTGCTCTGTTCTTTCCTATTACATTAACAGACATAACTGCAGAAGGTAAATTTAGTTGGCATAGCTGACATTTTAACTGCATAAAGAAGATGAACACCCCTCCCCATCCTGCCCCAAATACAGCACTCTTGTGATTTTGGCTGGTACCTGAAACTGACTTTCCTGTTGAACAAAGTACTTGCTAAGTTTAAGAATTTGGCTTGCCATGGGTTGTGTGCTTCCCACATGAGAGTATTTTTAGCCCATCTTGTAATTATGTTTACAACTTCTCACAGGCCATAATTAACATCAAGCTGTCAGCACAACTTTAAATAAATAAATAGATAAAAATGGGTAAGATGTTAAAATGAAAGATCTAAAATAACTCTCACTTTTAAATTATCAGTTGTTTTGGACCCTTTGAAGGGACGTTTTGAAGCTGTGTCTGTACCAGTGAAGAGAATGAGACAGGAGATGTTTTCTGGCCCCAGACCAGCTACCATGACAGCTTCTATTTACATGTAAGTTTTCCCAGGCCCCTCCAAAAACACCCAACCTCTGCTGTCCTCCTCGCTGTCCCCAGAAACTGGGTGCTCTCTGGCATGGACCAAAGTGCAAGCACCAAAGTGCATTGAGGACTATTCAGTAGCTTGGTGACATGGATCACTGTATGCCATTGCTTAGGCCTATATCATATTATATTGTGACCTTGCTCAGTTTAAAACAGATACCATTTTAAGGCTGGACTCTCAGCCTGCTGGATTACAGAAACACTACAAGAAGTTGACGAGAATCACTTCACACATAGCATGGCACAGCCCTCACAAATCCTCTGGGCTCACACTTCCTCCAGGAAGGCAGGACCTAAGCACAGGTTCCTGGATTAACCCTGTCCCATCACCAGGCAGTGGGAAACCCTGCCAGGACCTCGCAGAGCCTGCAGGAAGCACAGAGGGTGGCAGATGGTGGCAAAGGGATCACACTGCCGGTTCCAGGCATAGGAGCACAGACTGAAAGCTGGGACAGGCGCCAGGTCTTGCACTTGACCAACTCAATAACCACTTCTGAGCAGGATGCTGCACTGCTTAGTAAAGAAAACAGCATTTGTGGGGTGCAGTTGGTTTCCTGCCCCAGGTGCCCTATTGTCCCTTCCCCACACAGCTATGCACTCAGCATCTGGCATGCCTATTACTGACAGAACTGAACTCAGAGACAAGTGAAGAGCAAGTGTTGGAAAGTATGGCCTTAGAAAATCCAAGCTGATCAGACACTTCATCTTCCAAAAGCCTCCACTGTTGCACTCTGACAGGACATTACAGTGGAAACACCCCACAGGGGAATTTTGTTTCCAGCCTTTAAATACATGCAGTATTAGAAAACAAATCCCAGAAAGACTCACCTGTTCTGAACCTGACGAACATGTCAAAAACATAGATAATATCAGAGAGATAATCCAAGAACAGCCACATTTTAATATGGTCCATTTGTAGCTCATCAAAGCAGGCTCTAAAGAAACAAAAATTAAAAAAAAATAATTACACCAACTGCATAAGCAGAGTACTTGCATTACATGCCCTAGCAGCATGTTAGTGCACATTTCTGTTCCCAAAATATTACAGAATATCTTCCTGTGCAGACATCTGCACACTAGAGCTATGTCCAAACAGACACCAAGATCTTTCAGAATTCAAAGGTATTCTGGACAGGAATAAACTCAAACACATAAATGCCCCAGTTATGCAGGATTACACATATCCCTCCAATTAAAAGTGCACCAGATTTCACGGGATACATATCTCCATGAAGATAATTCCCAAATAAAAGATTTGTTTCTCAGTGGCAAGCCATCCTCATCTCTCCCTACCATCTTACACAGTGTAAGGAAACCCTTTCTTTCTTCAGCTCACCATCACTTTCACTGAAACTGATTTCTATATTCTACTATGGAAAACAAATACTTGAGTTACATCTTCCTGCCCTTCGAGCATCCAAAAGATGTATTATATGAATTTGAGAGGCCCCACCACTGCCCACATCCCTCCTTTCTGTTCTCTCCTGGGAGGTGGGAAGCCCTCATCCCTGGCAGTGCCCTGGGCTGCAGTGGCCAGGACACAGCTCAGCCGGCAGGTGGCACACAAAGGCCACACCAGCGCTCGTGAGGACACTCACTGCAAGCTACACCCACCTGCTTTTAGACAAAAAGGAAAAAAAATCAAACACTGGCAATCTATTCCCAGTGGTAGGCATATCATACATCCCTAATGGGGTATGAACTGTAAATCTTCTAGGCAAGTCACTCAAAAGATACTGCAGGGAGGTAAGAGGGTGATTTACATAGGAAAGATAATGATTCAAATGTAAAATTGTTATTAACTTCAATCCATACCTGCACACTAGCATACACCAGTTATAGAACACGGGTGCTGCAATTACAGTCAGCCAGTTGTAGTACAGATTGCTTGAAGGATCTATCACAAATACCTCCTTTTTCTGCCTGGAAAGTAAAACATGCAGATTTACTCTGGAAATTAAAGAAAGCAACCTGCTGGATTTCCCTCTTCTTGAGGCTGCTCATTTCACCATGAACTCACAGCTGCCCAAGAAGAGAATGCATCCATGCAGGCAGTGCAGATGAGATACCAGGCATCCCATCTGACAAGCTCTACTTTGTTTGACACAGCTTTGGAAAAAGTAAGAGTGGAAAGAAAACACAGACATTCATATCTCCCAGGCTGAAACCCACAGCCTTCTGTATTAAGCCCCACACTGAAAAAAACCCTTAATTGTTAAATATTTCTTATTGTCACTCAGATTAGAAGGTTACATTTCATTGCTAGAGAAAGAGCCTTCCTTTGCAGGCTAATTATTGATTTTTAGCAAATTCTATTATGGAAATGACTGTATAAGCACACATTTGAACAAGTAAAACATGTATGTATTCAAATACATGTCTGTACAAGAAACTCTGTGTGCATATGCACATACAGTGTGTGTGACTAGAGCTGAAATATGTCTGTCAAAGGCAAATTTCAAACATTCACAGTCCTGGCTCAGCCTCACAACAAGGAAGTGATGCTAAAGGAAGCATACAGGCCTGGAATGTAAAGATTTGAAGAACAGCATGGCTAATGGCACAGGATATGCTCAGAAGTGCCCACTTCCAGCATGAGAAAGGTTAATATGGAATAGAGAGCAATTAGGCTTGTAATCAGTGGATTTGAGGTCCACAGCTGCAAAATTAATTCAACTGTAAAACTGTGATATGTGGACTGTATAATAATGTGCAGAATATGTGGCAAGGCAATGCCTGAATACGTATTTGTGGGACTTTTCCTAATCTCCAAAAATGCAAATATATTAAAATATAATGGTAATTTATTTCAAATCTGTGTGTATTTCTGACATTGCCATTGCTGTCAGCTGAATATCCAGAAATGTGAGTAAAAGAAGAAGCTTTAATCTAAAATGTATTTACTTTACTATCTTCACTACTGATTTTAAACCATTTCTTCTAGAAAACTGATCACCACCTCAAAACTGGTGACCATGAAATATGGCCGTTATACATCAGAGTATACTACCTTGTACACATTAAAACATCAATTTTCTTTGAGAAAATGTATTAAAACACTCTTGGCTACTGCAAAGCTCACACTTTCACTACATAGTAATTAAAGACAAAAGAGACTGTTTAGAACAAAGGCTTTGTAATTGGAAAAAAAATTAAAAGCTTTGATTAATAAAGATCTTGGAATCCATCAGATTCCATTTGGAATACCCTCATGTCTCTATAGCACCACATACGTACATATAAACCTAGAGTATATTCCTGTAACATACTCCTTAACTGTGAAATGCACTCAAATGCATTCTCTCTTTATCTGCCATCATCATTACTTTTAATCACTGGTAATAGTAAATTGCACTGCATTTGGGTCAGCTTCAGGGGAACAAAGCAACAACACGATCCATTTATGTCAAAAGCATTCAAATTACCTCATTTTGTTGCAGAAATACACCATCCCTTAACTAACAGAAACAAATTTAGTGATCACTAGCAATGAACTGCACTATATTAAGTAATTAAATAACTAGTCAGTGAAATAAGTAAACTTATTAGCAAACCTTTAATTTTCTTCATGTAAGATATTTCTACATGGTAAGATGAACCAGACTTTTGGTTCATCTGCTCTGAATCATTATGGAAATTCTGGAACAAGGAAAAGTCTGCAGGTCTGCAAAGCAGGCTGCTGTCCTAAAGTGTTGTCATAATTGAAAAGTGATCGTCAGTTCAAAGTGACCAGAGGTAGTTCAATTCCCTTATACTGACATAGGCAGCTGTTTCTCAAAGACCTAAATAAAGGTCTCTAAGATACAACTTTGCCGAGCAACTGAAACCTTCCCAAAGGGGAAAATGTATTAAAGATTTGACAGGCTAAGAATCTGCAGTGTACAGAACAATTGTAACATAATGAAATGCTATACCATGTTTTGTAGTGTAAGAGACGTGCTACAATCACACATTCATTCTTTATACTTACTCTTCCTTTTTTTTATCATCTTTTTTGTCATCTTTTTTGTCATCTTTCTTTTCCTCTTTTTTGTCCTCTTTTTTCTCCTCTTTCTTTTCCTCTTTTTTCTCCTCTTTAACCTCTTTCTTTTCTTCCTTTTTGCTGTACAACATAATGCAAGGCTTAGCAGTATTACCAATACTGAACAGTAAAGGGAGAGGGTGGAGGTTTGGGAACTATTCTAAACTCCAGACAGAATAGGACAGGGATCCAACTGGAAAAAGGGGTTCTCAGGCTGAGACCTCTCACCCTGACACCACCACACCATCACATCAGGTAACCAGCTGGCTGATTCTCTGCATTAGTCACCCACAGCTTCTTGACCTTTTCAGACATCAGTGTACCAGGCTGATTTTAAGTAATGCTTTCAGTTTGATTGACTCTTAAGAACCCAGGCTTCTTAAAAAGAAACCTAGCAAATGATGACAGAATGTGAAATGGTTTAACAAACTGTCAGCGTTCTTTGCACAGCTAAAACCTCAATGTGACTGTCTGAAGCTTTCATAGTAATTACAAAAAATCAGGATGAATCTCCTCTCATGGTTCTTTAAAACCAGAAAAATTTTAATTCATTAATTGCCTCTGGATCTCAATTGTCCCATTCTAAGGTTTGTCTGAACATAAGAGTCCTAAAATATGTTAACTCAGGCAGACAGGCCCACAAATACTTTTCAAACCTACAGGAAGTTAACATCTTTCACAAGATTCTGACAATACCTAAAGCTAGATCTCCTACATGCCTTGGTCATCAATCATGCAATGTGTTGTGAAGATTGGTGCTCACTTGCACAAGCAGAAAATCCATGATCCGAGATCTCCTTCTTTTTTATTTGAACACTTCTAGTCCTTGAAGCAGAAAACATCCCCCCCCAGACAGAAAAGCCTAAGAGTGTTCCTCACACTACAGTGTATGTGGATCACAAAATTCTCCACACATAATGTCTGGTTTGATTGAAAGCCATGGATTCCTGCTCCCATGGGAGCTCTGTTTTCTCCTCTGAACTGCCAAGAGTGGATCCGAGGCTCCCTTTGCACTGGTGTCAAGAAAAGATAAATTAGTTTAATAGGAGCAACACCCCACAGCAAGGACAGAGCGTGTAACAGTTCTGCTTGCAGGACATGTGCTTTCTGTGCACACCTGCTCATACTGCTCAGACAGAAAGCTCTGTGCTGTGAATGGCAGTCACATCTAGGAAAGTGCTTGATACAGGGAGAAAGAAGTGCTCCAAAGGAGATGACAGCCACCAATTTTAAGATAGTAGCGGCTTTCACCAATCAGCAATGAGCACCTGTTCCAGTCCTTGCACTTAAACATTTCCACAGTGATGCACCACCACAGTGTACTTTGGAAAAGCCAAGACTCATTTGCTAAAAAATGCCAAGATCCCACACTCTGCCACATCCAGGGAAATACCTACCAAGCTGACCAACACCACTGACACCTTCAAAATTACACAGTAAAAGGGAGCAGAACTGGAGGGGAAAAGAACCTTTGGCTTGACTGATCTTCTATTTCTACTTTCATCTCAAATCAAAGGAAGAGTTTGTCATTTACCAAAGATGATTCCTACACAGCAGTGGGAACTGCTTCTCAAGAATTTATTTCTCTGGACTGACTGTCGAGAACTTTACCTCTTCATTTTCCAATCTGCCCCCAAAACTCCTTCCTGTTTAAAAAACATGTAAGGATTTCACTTCAGATTACCATGCATGGTGTCTGATCTAAAGGGAAATGCTCAGTTGCTGTTGTTAGCATTAATGTAGATCCTCAATACTTCAAATGCCTGGCATTCTTACCAGAAAGGAAGAATTACCAATAAGTAGAATTTTCAAAGGGTAGGCCTGCCTGTACATTTCTGGATCCTGTTATGCAGGGAAAAGTAGGCTGAGATTGAGAATCAGCCAAAAAGTCTCAGTGGTGGTGAACTTTGGAGGGACAATTTCACAATTTTGACAATTCCAACTCCCTCCTATGTTCGTGTTTTATTTTTTAAAAATGAAAAAACTTTATTTCACAGAGTATCTAATTTTTCCCTAATTTTTAAAAATAGCACCTATTTATCCCTGGCCTGAGTTCTCCTACAAACTCATCTGTCAACTACAGGTACCTTTTGTAAATTAGTTTCTTCCATTCATGTTGCCTCTGTTTATTTTTCTGTTATGGTAACTCCCAATTTATCATACTCACATCTACTTGCAGTCTGATTGGAAATTGCTCAGAGGAAAAGGTTGGCCATAATCAAAGACTTGAAAGCATCACGTACAGTTCCCCAAGACATGGCACACTTAGCTCTTTAACATAATGAAAAGTCCACATTTCTTCTTCTTTACCAGTAACCCTGAGTAAACTGGAATCCAGTAACTAATAAAACAACTTGTCTGTCCTCTTTGATCCCAACACAGCAGAATCCATGCTGTTTTTAAACTGTGTGCAGCTTTAGACTTAGAAATCTACTTCATCAGCCCTTCTGAAAACACTGTCATAGTCTTTGAGTGACTCAAATATTTGCATTTCTCATCTGTCAAGTACTTTGCAAATCAAGTATGTTTCAGACTGTTGGGCAGGTAGACAGACAGGTCTTGTCTTCATTTAAAAATAATGAAACGGTGAAAGGATGAAAGTTCTGCCCAAGGTACCTGAGTCACTGTCTGAAACAGAGTAAGGCAGAAGTATTTCTGTCCTAACCAGTCCTCCGGGCTCCATCTAGCAGGCTTGGCTCCAAGCTTATAGCACTTCTTCTATATCAGTCTAAAGAAAAACCTGCATATTTCTGTCACTGTTCACTGCACACAGATTTTCCTTTTGAATAAAAGTTACGCAAACCAAACCAAAAAGTTGCTTTAGGAGAAGGAAGATCTCTTGCGCAGCTGTGTGCGAAAAGGTTTTGCAGCATCAGTTAAAATGTACAGTTTAAACTTGCCCGTGATGGAATTATTTGGAGAAAAAAAAAAAAAAACCAAGAGTTTTCTAGAAGTGTTTCTGACACAATCAAAAGATGTACTGATTACTTTTATTTGTTTTGTTTTCATCTGGGAAGCAATGAAAAAAACCTACTATCATTATGCATGAGAACATATCTGCTGCTGGATACTAAAGAGCAGATATGTCTTCAGATTGCTGTGGTCTAAGACAAGCAAGAAAAATTGATGTTGGGTGATTTTAAATTACAGGAGCTCTACACATTGTTTAAAAAATTTCTCTTTGGTGTAACACCGTGAAATAACTTGTCAATTATATGAAATAAACTCAAAAGGACAGCTTCTATCAGACACTCTGTGGCAATACCAGCCTTATTATGGTGTCTGTCACTCTCTCTAAGACAACAGTACCTGCTGAACTGAAACACACACTTTTAAAAGACAGACATATAAATGTGTTTTGGTGCCCTCATCAGTATCCACTTCTCATTTGACAACCTGAAACTTTTGGGACACTTGATTTGCAAAAAGGGACCAGTGTGTTAAAAGAGGGAAACCACTATTAGAAAATTTACACATGAATCTCACTTAAAAACTGAAAAATGAATGCATCAATTGGTAATGCAGTAAAATCAGCCAGCTGAACTACAGAAGGTAGGGACTAAATGCTTAGTCAAATTCACTCCTCAAGAGGAAGGGGTAACTTCAGACAAAAAGAAGTTCACAGGGAGCACAAAGGATGCTTTTCATACTAAGAAAACTAGACCTTTCTCTATAATAAAACTATACTCTTAGGAAAGGCTTAGCAAGAACTAAGGAGTTTATACTACAAATGTTACTAAGCTGGATAGGGAAAAAGAGAAGGTGCTGGTGGTAGAAAGGTCTTTGGAGTTAACAGTACTTACTCTTCATTAGTGTTGTTGCTGAAGTTGACATTGAACCTGGCCAAGGGCCAGTGACTGCAAGCAAGTTAAATAAAACACATTAAAGAGTGTCAGTAAAGGCTGCTGGTGTTTCACACACGTGTTTGCCGACACGACAGACGGACTCACGAGCTTCTCACATAGGCACTGATAAGATTAGCAAGGTCAATTTTGACTGTTGTGATAAGCCCCTTTGCATAACTGCTTCAAGGCACCAGTTCCTTTCTGTCATGTGCCTGCCATACACATTTGTGACCACATCTGATGTCTGAAGCCTGTTCTTAGGCGTATTAGTGCATGGCAAGATGCACCTCACTATTTTTAGCCCTGTACTCACTGGGCTACTATTTCAAGCTTTCTTCAATCCTTCCAAGTCCTCTTCACAGATGCAGTGTCAAGGCTTGTGGATAAGTAATGAGCATACCTACCCATTGCTGCAGAATTAAGCCTTCATGATCCAACAACTGAGAATTCCTGTCCAACAGCATAAAACTGAGAAGGCAAGGATGGGTGCCCTCAAATTAATTTCAAATAGCCTTATGCAGAGGTTTGTCGGCCTATGATCAATGTTTTTCTCTCTAATTACTTGCCATCTGCAGATGTTACTGATGCAGACACCTGAGAAATCAGGCAACAGTCTGGCTAATTCAATAAAATGTGCTCTTGAGATGAAATTTTAAGAAGCAGATCAAGTGAAGATAATAAGGCTGTGCTGGACTACAACAAATCAGAGCAACCTGCGTAATGCACAGATATTCAAAGGTTGTTGCTTTAATCTGAATTGCTTACTGAGGTTTATGAAACTAATTACTTGCTTACCTACCAGTCTTTAATTATGCAAAAAAATATAGGAGTCTCTGTTTCAAAGCCTAATGCCAAACAGAAAGACAGCTTTTGTCTTGGGATTTCATTTTCCCATTTTAGATGGAGTTAAATTTAAAACACTGTATTATACATTTATAGAGTAATAATAAGTCATCAAGTCAAAGAACTGTAAACACATAAAGGTTTCACTTTCATTTTACTGAAAAAAAATTAAGACTGAACCTGCCTTCCACACCAAAGACTGTGTATGTGCTAATAACTGAAGTCAGCATCCAAATGATTTTGTCATTTCAGAAGCTTTCTGTAATGTTATCAGATGGACTTCTGAGTAAATATAACAAAGCAATTACACATTTTGCACAACTGCTTCTTTGGAGTTTCCTAACACTTGCAGATAATGTACATTAAGATACTGAAAAGCCAAAAGTAGAAACATCTTAGAATCTTGAGATAGAAATTGCATTCTCCTCAGCAGAAAGCAGTTTAGCAATGTCAAGCTGCATGTGGTAAAATTCTAGTTCTGAGAAATCACTCTGCATGATCAAAAATCCTTTACCTCAAGATTTTGGTCACAGCGTCTTTGAGAAAGAAAATCTGTTGAAAGTGCAATACTTTAGTTATGTGAAGATTCCTGGGCAGCATTAGATACTCTGTTCATCTTCCACGCTAAGCTCCTTACTCTCTACTTAAAATACAACTTACATCCTAATCACCAAGAAAACATGATAACCTCAGCCATTTCAAGTACAAACAAGTCCTCTTACCTGCTGGCTGCCCCGGGCCGCTCCCGGGCGCCCAGGAAGGAGCGGATGTTGCTCTGCCTGGTGGACACCTCCACGAGCTCTGGGCCCCGGATGCGCTCCAGGAAAGAGTCGGGCCTTTGGTCCTCACGGCGCGAGTGCCTCGTGGCCCAGGACCTCACAGACAGCACAAACTGGGACAGCCTGCACGGAGCACACACACAAAATGGACTGAACCAGGCAGAAACAGGAGGTGCCTTAAAACATCCCCACAAACACCAGCCAAGATTCTTCTCCACATCTCTACCTGTGATGAAATTAAACTTAACGGAGTAACAGTATGAACCCAGTCACTTGCCACAATTTTGTAGATCACCTTCTGCACTGGATTAGGAAAATACCTCACATATCAGTTCCTATTCTACTGTATCCCCACTGCAGGAGCAACAGAATATTCTTGCTGAGTGGGGACCTTTGCATCTCAAAGTGAGATACTCAGTGAAGTCCATCAGATGCAGGTTTTTTAGATCCTTGAGAATTTCCATTCAAGAGTCATGCTGTGTTACCCTAATATTTAAATTGCTAGGCATTCATGGTTACATTACATCACAAACTTCCCTGTATATTCAGAGCATACCTAACTGTAGCTACACACACATCATCCGATCTATCATGAAAAAAGGTAAAGAAATTATAAACAAAGATTAAAAAAGGAAGCTCTCAGTATGAATTTATATATTCATGTGCATTATGTTTACACAAAACACACAACTATAATCTTTTCTCATCTAAACTCAACTTTTTGAAGACTTTGTCATCTACATGTAGTGATGTCATTATCTGAAAACCAAGCAGGAAAATCCCAGTTTATTCTCCACTATCCAAAATGATGAAAATTGAACAATATTCTTTATTTTACCATAGTTTTACAGTAATTTTTTCTTTGCTCTTTGAAATACACTGTGCTTAAAGAAATTGTGGTCTGTGTTATGTGGAACAATGGTATCTGAAGGCAGAGCCCTGCTGTCTCAGACACAAAGCAGACACAATAAAGTTTTGAACCTCCACTTCAGGTTTTCACTTAAGTCCCAGTAATACAAACAATTTAAGACAATGTTCAGCTTCAATCTTGCTGACTAGGGCTCCAAATCCATTATAAACATAACTGGATTCTAAAAACTGAAACACAAAGACGCCCTGTCTCCTCCCTTTCCAGAGCCATCTACCAAAAGGAGACAATCATTATGTTTTATTTGATAGGAAACAAACACTGCATCAGCTATCAGCCTGAACCAAACACTTACCCATTTATTTTACAGCCTGGCCTCACTTCATGCATTTCCCAGGCATTCAATGTATTTTCAGATACAGTTATGTAAAAATTATTTATTCTTTTATATTTGAAAAATTTCTTTGGGCTTAGTCAGCCTCTCTCAGATTCTAAGACTTCTATTAGTAAGTGATGAATCAAGGTCAAATGCAACTTCTGTTACTTCTTAGAGACATTCTTCAGCTGGACTCCATCCACTTTCTTTGGAAAGTGATGGCTCTTCTTTCTTTACCTCCAAATTGTGACCAGTCTTTTCCAGCAAATTGAATTAATACTGGAAATTCTATTAGTTAGTTAACATTCTATTAGTTATTATGTTACCTTGCCATTGCTCCCCTGCCAGTGAAGGAGCTCGCCTGGGACTCAGGTACATGTCCTCCCTCCACAGAAATGACTCCCTGCAGTTCTGAAGATGCATCCTCACGAAATGAATGGGCTCTGCAAAAACAATTTTTTTTTTTTTTAAGAATTCCATGCAGCCTTCACCAGACTTTCCCCCATCTGGTTCTCTCCACCACTGCATAAGGAAACAGTCCAGCACATTGCCCTCTCCCTAGTAATACAGCATTTGATAACCTTGTTGCTAAGCCTGGGCTCCTATTCTTCTGGGGCCATCCAATATGAACTGAAGTCAGTGGAGGCTCTGCCACATATTCCAGCAAGCTCAGAAACTAAAGACAACTTATTAGCACTTAAAAAATCAGCATTTCAGGAAAAAGAAGATTAAATTTTAGCCTCATCTTTCAGAAACAGAGTTTTGAAATTGACTTCACTGGAAGCTGGACTTTATGAGGGTTCACTCCAGATTTTTTTATAGTACTCCTTGGTTTCCTCTGTGTTTTTCAGTCTTTAGTATTCACTTTTACAAGACTTTTTTACATCCATTAAGAATCACTTTCTTCCCCCTTTGTAATGGAAACAAGAACTCTCACATGGGTCTGTTAATCTGTGCTGCCAGGAAAACACTGACAAAAATGATACTTGCAGTATCTTCATAAGAGTTGGCAGCAGCATTGTGAATGCCCACAAAAGAATAATCAGCAGCTCAATTTTATGTACACTCACAGCTCAGAAACTAACAAACAAAGAATTAAAACATTATTATTTCTACCCAAAGAACAATGCAAAAATAGATCCTGACAGTCCCAGGATTCTCAACTTGTTAACTGTTTTCTACTTCTCCTCCATTAAAAAACCACCATTTAGTATTGAAAAACTTTTATAACCTAGTTTATGTTGCCAGTGCTGAGAATATTGTGGTTGCCAAAGTTAACGTCCTTCTAAGGGACAATGAACAAACTCATGGCACAGGCATTCATCACAGATTACCAGATTCACAGAGCCCACACTCAGCCCAAGAACTCTCTTGAGCTGAATGCTGAGAGAATAGTAGAGTTTGTCCACCTTTTTTAGTATTTCCTGAAGAAATTGCCTACAGACCTGCTGGAGAAAGGATACTGGACTAGTTAGTGTTTTAGACTGCACTACCATGGCTGGCTTTAAGTATTTTATTCCCGTCTACCGAGTAATATACATTTTGTGTGATCTTAGCAATAAATTCTAATATTGTTAATGGCAGTGCCTAAGAAGTATCTAAGTTCCCATTACAACCAATGGCCATCTCAGGGCTTGATTCAGCTGCTTCAGAATAGAGTCTGGTACAATCTGTAACACCTCAGAATACTTTATTGGACTTCTCCAGAGCACACAGCTCTCTCCTCACATCCACTAGTGCCAGCTAAATGCTACAAATACTCTGTAGTATCGCAAATAGCATTAGATGCCTATTTCAGGCAACTAAATACCTCTCATAATCAAGAGAGCCAAAGGAGCCTGGAGAGTTTCTGAGTTTGAGGGTAAGCTGAGCAGCTCCCTGGGTGCTGCTGACCACCAGTACTGACTACATCTCCACTCAGGACAGCAGGAATGCAGGCACCTGCTCACATAAAGACACTGAAATCCAGATGTCTACAGAGCACAGCTGAATCCTACTTCCAACTTTAGACAGCCAACCTGTGTATATAAGCTGATGTGCTGCCTCTCCTATTTGAGCTGTTTCTATACAGAGGCTGGGTTTTAAAAATGGAGATTCATTTGTTATTTTTGGGTTTTTTTTATTTTTGTTTTAACAAAATGAACCAACTTTACAACACACTACAGAGTAAGACTATGGGAACATGAATCACTGCAGCAAAAACGAGCACAGCATTTTAAAGATCAGTAGCAGCTTTCTGTTAAGTGCTGCAGTGAATGCTTTGTCTTGGTGACGCCTCATTCCACAGCAGAAAAGTGCTTAAGCACATCCTTAGCATTAAGCATAAATTTAACACCCACAGACTTTATTAAGAACTAAGTAATGTGTTTAATTGCTCTGTTGAACTACAGCAAATAGGAGCTGGAGGAAAGCAAAGGCAAAGAAGAAATGCTGCTACTCTAGCAAATGTGCTTTTCTTCCCAACATCTATAGTTGTGGATTTTGATGTAAGAGAGAGAAAACCTAAAATCATGGATGGCTTCTGTCTTTGGGTACAGACATATTCTAAAGCAAATCTGAATTTAAATTCATCTTCCAGTAATAGAGTCTAAAAAATTTTTTTAAAAAATTAAATAAAAAACCAACAAAATTTTTAATGGTATTATGAAGTTATTGTATATACTTAGCAGCACTCATTTCAAGAACCCAAAAATCTTAAATAGGAGATCTCTTTTACAGAGCAAGACTGTATCTTCTTACCCATCTATGAAGTCCTGCAATTAATGCTGATAATATCAAATGTTCCTTTCAAAAAAATTACTCTTCAAGACCATCACCATGATGATAAAGTGCAATTCATATTTCAGTCCCTCTATCTGTCAAAGTCATTGCCTCTGAAATTGCAGATGACCGTAGGGATTTAATTCTACATTTAAACCCTTATAACCCCCCCTCACATCCCAGCCAGTAATTCCCTTCTGTGAGCCGCCAATCACTGACATCCACTACAAATAGGACACTAAAAAAAGGAAAGGAAGAGGCTCATTTCAATCTGTGTTTTCACTTTTTCTAACACATCACTGTTAATGGAGGGAAAGGGACAGGGCTTTTTTAAATCTCCCTAAGGAAACCATGGAGTAGTGCAACAACAACAAACAAACCTTACTGTGCAGAACAAATCAGACCCATTTTCACTACTGTAGGTACATCTATGTGACAGAAGGTACCATGAAAGCAAAGCAAAAAGAAATAAAGGACCAATTCAAACAGAGCATCCATAGCAGCTGCTAGTGACATGCAATCCAAAAATCACCATAACAAAGGGAGTCCCATCAGCCCATCAGGATTCTGGGAGCTCTGGTCTGGGTGTGCATTTGAACAGCAAGAGACAGCCTGACAAGATCCACATAGAGGAGGTGGTTGGCCGTAACAAGCCAAAAGCAGAAAACTTTTTCCAGCCTTTAGAGATGCTATGGATCATCAGGCATCTTTCCACAGGCCCAGCAGGCTTTGCCCAGTCTAGATGAATGACTCCTACTGTGCAACAGGTAAGTGCAAGCTCACTGGCATGTTTCAAACAGCCACTTTGAAACTATCAAAACTAGAGAAAGGTGAATGTAAAGAAACTATTACATTTCCTCTGTACAGTGGGACACTCCAAAAATCCAGCACAAAAATGATGATACTCTTTATACACTACAGATTTTCCCTATCACAGGAACTAGGCAATTTGCAGAGGCTGCTTTAAGAAAACCAAACGTTCCCAAGGCTTCTCACTGTATGGTGCTCAAAGGATCTTTTTCTTGCCCATATCCTACATACCTTGTTGAAAGCATAGACCCTGTGTGCTATCTGTGTGGTGACTTAAGAAATGAGTCACCACACAGATGAGTTAGTGCAACCTCCCTGTGTCTGTCTCTTCTATACTTTGGATAGATGTTGTCAAGTCTGTAAAGTGCACTGGGCCAACAATACCACAACACAATATTCCCATAATATTCCATGCCATTCCCAGAGCTACAGGAGTTCCACAAACTATGCAGCAACCTGTTCTCCTGACTGTGATGAAAGGAAAATATTACCTGATATAGCCATTTTCAATCCTTTCGATATCTTCATCAGCAGCTCTGACCGATAGACTGTGTACACCAGGGTAGGAGTGCTGGGTGTTGATTTTTGCCATTTTGCTTTACATATCAACATCTAAATGACAGCTGAAACGGGAAAAAAAATATGAAGGCTTCAAAAGGAATGTGCTCAGTACTCAAAAAGAGTTCTTTATTAAAACAGTTGAACAGCAAAAAGCAATTTCAACCATTTGAAGGACGGTGTGTGATATTTACACACACATATGACATGTGTTTCTCAATTTATTTGCAGTAGACAGAAGAAAAAGTGTTAGTAAAAATTCATCATGACCAAAGCAAAAGGGTTACATGACATCATATTCTTTTAGTCTCTGGGCTTTACGGACTACCTACACTGTCATAGCTATTATCCATAGTGAAATTGCATTTAAAATGTCATTAAAAGAAGGTTAGTAAGAAAGTCAACTAAAAAAAGCCAGGTAATACATGTGCTAGAACAACCTATTCCACTTTAGATTGATTTCCCTGTGCTCATTTTATCTATTTTATGATTAAGACTTTTATTCCAAAAATCCATATTAACCAAGCAGATAATTAATGACATTTACCCCTTAGTTTAATGCAGGCCATGCTATAATTCTGTATTATTAAAACTCTGCAGTAAACACACACCAGGGAGTTTTATCACAATGCTTCAAAACAGTCTCTGTTAAGATATTTAGCAGCTTATCTCCTACAAGTTTTAAAAGATTTGTCTAAATTCCTTTCCAGATTGGATCTTCAATGCCTTCCCAAATTCATATCACATCTACTACTTACAAAATGAGTTTTAAGACTCAAGACAAGTGTCTTACAAATGAAGGACTGAAAGAATTTCAGTGAAAGCTTTGAATTTTTCAACAAGAAAAAAAAAGATTTAGAAACTCCATTCAGGAACCTTTTTTGTTTGAAATATGACTAGAATGAAATTCCCTCAGGATCAATCAACTCCCTCACACTAGGCTGTGTCCATTTTTCACCTGGAATCCTCTGTGTCATTGACCACACAAGATCCACCTTCAACACCAAATGAAATACAGATCTTTCAAAAACTTTGTGACCTGAATCATTCAGGTTATTACCCATGGTTAGAATATTACACACCCACTTTCTTGAAAACAACATACTTGACTTACCCTTCACTCAATTCCCAGACAATTAAAGAAAGTAATACATAACTTCAAAAATTATTTAATATATTTTAAAGTGTTTTTTTTTTTAATCCAGAAATAATGAAACTACTCTAGAAACAGCCTTGGGCATCACGTAATATTCAAAAATTTTATTAGTACCCCTCATCACTAATTTTGCCTTAATTTAAATCAGTTACTGTCTGTGTCTCACCTTAAGCTGAGCCTTGTTCATGCTGATTAACTGAAGTTTAACTGGGAAAAAATGGGCATTTTTATTACACATTGATATGAAAAAATTCTACTCTTTCAACCCACTCTCAGATTGGAATGCTCACTCAAAAGAATTAACTTCTAAAGTGCAGATAATTTATGTTAAAAAACAAAACTCAGTTTTAAAAGCTTGATAGTGGGAAGAATTATTCATAAGTAACAAAGCATTAACCTTTTTTCCAAAGTTGTAATTTCAGAGCAAATTTAGCACTGAGTGAAGCTCTTGACTAGTTCTGACACTTAGTTCCACTTATCAGTTCTGGTGATTCACAATCAGATTGATGTCTACCTACAGCAGTTCTTAAAAACAAGGGTCACCTGGTTTATAACTTCCAACAAAGAAAGCAACTCTGGTAAAAAAGTAAAACTGTTAAAACAATAAAAGCACGAGATAATGAAACCCTTCTGAAGTCCTGGGGTGATGTAGATAATTTGCTGCTAACACCATGGATTCCCTCACTGATAAGACACATCACTTCTGAAACTGGAGATGAGTGGACAATGCCTTTCTATGTTTCAAATGCTGTAGGTGTGGTACATGGATTTCCAGGTGCATTTGTGCATCAGTTCCCAAAAGTTTGGTTAAAAAACATGAAGTACAGTATTTCTTTACACTTAAAACTGAAATGACTGAAATTGGATATTACTAATCTAGAATTAAACACTTTTAACAGATATTGGAATTAGATACTCCAAACCTCCTGAAAGGCTTGAGTATGCCAGTGGAGCACTGAATACAGGAAACCTTATTCAGACTTTCAAAAGCTATGCCACGAAAAAAGAAAAAATACTGGCACATGAAGCCAAACACTATATTGAATTAAAAAAAACAAGAAGACAGAAAGCAAGAACAGGACTAAATAGTCACCTTCACCACTGCAGATGTTTATTAACAGTATTCCTCAGGGCTCTGTTGGAAAACCTGCTGTTAGTAATGCTGATGGAAAGATGAAGTGGTGATACAGTAACGTCTCAGGACAGCAAGAAGTTGTATAGGCAAGAGAAAGAAAAGGAATGCAGGAAACCTCAGGGTGGCCAACATAACTACAGCAAATTCTCAATTTGATGGTAAGTGATGTGCAACACAGGCAAATGGAAACCCATGAATACAGGTGAAAAGCAGGTGAAACTAATGCCCTACATGCTTCCAAATGAACCATATGTACTCAGAAAGCGAAGCTGAAAGGCTAGTTCTGGATTAAATATGAGGGAGAAATTCTTCACTATGATGGTGTTGAAACACTGGACCATGCTGCCCAGAGAAGCTGTGGATGTCCCACCCCTGCAAGTGTCCAAGGCCAGGCTGGATGAGGCTTTGAGCAAACTGGTTTGGTGGAAGAGGAGTTGGAATTACATGGTCCTTATGGTCCCTTCCAACTCAAACCAATTTATGAGCTCAGGACACAGGTACAGCTCAGAGAAACAGTGTGCTCACTGCAGGGCAGCCTTGCTGACACAACTGACAATGTATACATGGAACATGTTAATGACATAAAAACCACTAAAACTGCTCCATGAAACAACAGTGCAGACTCATCTGGAGCACTCCAAGTCCTTCCCTTAATCAGAAAGACAAAGCAGAATAACAGCATGGCAAGAATGATTAAAGACCTAGAAAAGGGAGAGAAAAGGAAAATGGGGCCTGCTCACCCTAAAAGGTAAAGACTATAAAGTTATAAAATAAAAATATGTAGGTAAAATTTCAGGTCATTTCAGATCCCTTACAATCATTTCAGCTGTAAAATTCATGTTTAATATACAGTGGGGTCTGAACTCTTATTCTGCCCTATACTGGAGGAAAGGAGAGGGGGAAAATTTCACAGAAATACAACTCTACTATTAAGCAATAAAATACATTAATATATTTTTGGAAGAAGGTAGGAGGAGTGGTACCAGCTGTGGTAGAGAGAGACTGAACACAGGACAGATACAAATAAACACTGAGGTAATTTGGGTACAGTGCAGGTGCTGAGACCTCCTGAAGCAATATGTTTTGGCAGTGCATAAAGCCCATAAAGCTCTGACAAATTACTAACTATCTGATGAAGAAGAAATATTTGTTCCTTACAGGCCTCTAAGAACCCTAATGATGAATGTTTTTACTAGTCTAGGGAGGAGATTGACATTTCAACATTGGATCCAAAATATGGCAAGTAATTACTAAGGAGCAGCTTAACAGGAGTCAGCCAGCAGGAAAGTCCTGAAGAGTCAGGAGGCTCCATAAACAGCTTTTGCAAGGACACAGAGAGACAGCTCCAACCATCTGGGACCTGCAATCCCAAAACTGCCACTAAACACTGGTCCTCACAAGGCAGTGTCAAGAAGCGAGTAGAGCTCAGTTTCATATTTAAAACTAGGCAGAGTGGCAGGTTGGCCTTGGCTGGCTGCCAGATGCCCACACAGCTGCTATTGCACTTCTCCTCTTCAGCAGCCCAGTGGGAGAAAGCTCACCATGGATCAAGAGGAAAAAACAGGAAGAAAAAGGACACTGGAAGACCAATTGTCATCACAGTAAAATGGGCTCAAACTGGAGAAAACTCAATTTCGTGCAAATAAAAATGGAGGTGGATGGCAGGAAACAAAGGCAAAACACTCTACCACTCATTTTCCCCAGATTCAACTTTACCCCTACATTCCCAACTCCTCCAGCTCCTCTACCCTACCCAGCAGCAGCACAGGGGCTGGGAATTGGAGGCTGCAGTCAGTCCCTGTTCCCTCCCTGCCACTCCTTCCTCCTCACACCGTGCCCCTGAGCCAGGCTGGGTCCTTGCTGCAGGCTGGGTCCTTCACAACCTGCTCCACAGGCTGCAGTCCTGCAGGACAAACCTGCTCCACTCTGGGTCCTCCATGGACCACAGTTCTTGTCAGGACAGTCTGTTCCTGCACAGGCTCCTCTTCACTGGCTGCAGTCTGCTTCAGGAATGGCTCCTCCAAAGGGTCCTCCACAGTGGATGTCTGCTCCATTACGGAGCCCTCCAAGACTTGCAAGGGAATCCTGCTCCAGTGCTCACAACACCACCTCTGCTCCTTCTTCTCTGACCTTGCTTTCTGCAGAGATGGTTTTCACCCTTTTTTTTCCCCTCAGTCCCCTCACACTGCCTTTGTGGCATCCTACCCTTATTTAAGTGCTTTTTCCCTGAAGTGCCACCCTCTTGGCCACAGGGGATGAGCTGGAGCTGGCTGGAGCCATTTGTGTGCAGCACAGGCAGCCCTGGCTGCTGCCCACATCAGCCCCTCACCCCCTGCCAGCCCCTGGCACTGCACCCATCCTGGTACCTGCCTTTTATAAATAACAACTACCTGGGAACTACACTCTCTGCCCTGAATATTTAATGCTAATAATAACACTGAGGGTAAAACTTGATTACCTAAAGGCTGACAAGTCTGGTAAATCCATGTTAGGCACTTAGAACAGGTATTTAGCTTACAAGTCATTTAACAAAAAACATAGATAGACAGACAGACACGTCCTCTGAGCCTCAGTCAGCCTCACCCAGCAAAATAAAACTTGAATCTCTCCTAGCTCATGAAAGATTGGCATCTTTACCAATGCCTCAAGCAGAATTTTAACATGCTTTCTCACCTAGTCTTTTCTTCCTTGCTATCTATTGGGTAGGACTGAAAGAGATTAATAATCCCACACTCAAGTATATTGCTTTTCAGTGCCTAAATCACTGAGACTGAAACTACAGCTAAATGAGACAGATGTATTATCCTAAAAATGTAACAATTTACATACATGTAATTATTACATACATGATAGCACTCCCTACTTGAAATGTAAATTGTCAGGCTCTTTTATCTTCTTCTTTTTGGATTCAATAGCAACTGAGGTTTTGTGTCAAATTATTTTAAAGACACTCTCTGGTATAACAGAAGCATTTTTAACAAGACAGCCAGTTGTTTTTACAACAAGTATGAGTTCAAGTAACATATGAAAATTTTGGATTCACTTAAGTATTTCCTAGTTTTGAATATCAAGTTCTACTTGTCTCTTTAGGGCTACATGTAGAAGCAGAGCTACGAAGGCTGCAGTATCTAAATTTTAGGAGCTCTGCCATCCAGTGAATTTCCTGAAGCAGGAATGCAGAAATGCAGGTGAGCAGGAACAGGGCACTAAGAAGGAAGCTACCTATGTGAAATGACTGAAACCAAACTGGGATATGGAGAATAACTTGGCTTCCAAATCCAGGCCCAAAGCAGTGGCACCCAATTCACAGCCACAACCCCCCTCTTTCTCAAGTCAATTCACCTGTCTGCAGCAAATGGCATTGTGCTGAGCAGCTGCACCTCAAAAATGAGAAACCTTTTCAAGTCTGCTTCAAATTAAGCAAGAAAAAACCAATTTTCCTCCTTTTTCCAGAGCCTGCTCTCAGTAGCTTATGGGCTCCAAATAGCTTTCTTATGGGTTTTCAGCACTCTAGAACACCTATGGCAGGAGGTTTTCAGCACCCACTGCAATGTGGACACAGTCAAGGCCTCTGAGCAGCTTTGTGGCCTGAGTTTCAGACAATTTTGCACCATCTCAGCAGGAAAAAAAACCCAACACACAGGTACACACTTTAATATTACAAATTATAACAAATCTAGGAAGTTGATAGCTATCCACTAAACCATCAAAGTGGCTCTGCAGATTGTCAAACATCTGTGAAGGATCTTTGAATCACTGTAGTCTCCCTCTCAAGAGCACTGAGAGTTCATGTTTTGGAGAGTTCATACTCCAGCAGTTCCCTTCTGGGGCAGAATATGCCAACCCAACCTGACTTAATCCAAAATTGTTAACCAACCAAGAATTAATACACCTGATACAAAGTAAATGTAGTTGTTCATCAAGCTATTTATACCACCACTTAGTATTCTTAATGCTTATTTGTTTAGAGTAAAAGGACTACAGAAAGAAAATATGGCAGAATTCAAAAAAGAGTTTTTCAAGATGAAATATGTATCACCACCACAAATCAAAAGATGACTTTACATATGATTTTATAATGCATCCAGTGTGTTTGTGTGGTTAAAACACTGTTGTTCTTGAAGCTTTCAGCATTTTATTGTTGTAGAAGCAGTGATAAGCTGCATAGGATCACTAACATCATTTTAGTTAAGACACGTTCCAAATCCTCACACAGCCTCTCAGGTTCAACCCTGATAAGCCTCTGGGATTTATTCTGGGATTTGACCTCCACCTACATGATCCTTGTTATATCACTTGTTAATAGTTGTGGCTCAGCTGTGCATTATGTATCTTGTGTGTGTTCTGTGTGACAGGCTGCAGCTCCAGTGATGCAACCCCTAATGGCAACAAATGGGCATCAAACACTGCACACTGGAACTTCTAAATGATGACATGGTTTGAAGACAAGGCACAAAATCCTATTCTTCAAGGATTTGGAGGTTTGCAAATTCACCTGCACACTGGACTCTGGCACACTCATCTGGAAATCAGCTTTGTATGAAGGCCATTAGATCAAACTCAGGGAGTTGGAAAAAACAATCAGCAGTACCAACTTACCCTCATGAATTCATTACAGTTTAAATCAACAATTCTTAAATTCTAGGGCCTCTTTTAAAAGCACACTTTTCAAAATTTATCACTCTCTGCTACATCATATTGCATTTTCTACACTCTATGAGCACTGACATCTCCTGAGAATGCACATAATTTATATGCATAGCCCAGCAGCCTCAGGACCAACCAAGGATTTCAAATACTCTATCTTTCACAGGTACTTTAGATGTGCATGCACTTCATAAAGCATTGCATTATTCATGTATGTATAATTTATAGTTTTACAATGAAATGCACATGATTACCTTTGATCTATTTGATGGCTGAGTCTCTGGCACCTTTTAGTACCAAAATAATCATTCAAATAAACTGAATTATTGGGACAGAGTTTTCCTTCTGTAACTACAAACTATTGGCAATATAGTTCCATTTTCTAAGATTTACTAAAGTTTTCTGCAGACCATTTTCTGCAGATGAATTCTTTTTTAGACTGGCAGATTTTCAGGAGAAACTAGCTGTGGATATTAAATTTAATATTGTAAATTAAAACACAGAAAATTAAAAATTACAGCTGACAGCACAAGCAAGTCCCATCATGTTGTTTCTGCTGCCACTATGGTTAACACAGCACAGGTGTCCATGTTTCTATACAGCAAATAAGGTCTGTGCAAGGCTTCTGTAGCCACTGCCTAAAATTCACTGGTTCTGCCAATGTCTCCTGTCAATGCATTCGTATTTCAAGGTAACTCTTGAAAGTGAGCATAGCAGGGGCATGAATACAGCATGAACACAGCAGGTTTGCAGCCCTGAATGTATAAAATAAATCTGTATGTTTGCATACGTGTGACTGTCACCCATTTAAATTCCCTGCCTGCCCACTTTATGCAAACCATCGGAGCCACCCCATTTGCCTGGGGAAGGGAAACACGAGGGGTTGGTAAATCGTGTCACGTTTCACAGGCCCTAAGGAGGCATCCTACCGAAGAGGATTTCAGAGATGCTAATGAGAAGAGATGGCAACACTGGAGAAGGCTGCCGGACAACGTGCTGAACCGAAATGACTGAGCTTGGGTGCAAATTGGATGGCAAAGGCTGGGATACACTGACACATGCTGATATGAAGGATGAGGTATAATTTTTTAAAGCTGATGTGTTCTTCCCTCAAGTCATTCACTACTTGTTTACCATGATTACCCTTGCTGATTCAACATCCCGACAGTCCCATTTTCATTTGAAACGTGTATTTTTCTAATCTGATGGTTTTAGCATACATACTCAAGGAAAACAACATGAAAAATACCAAAGGGAAAAAACCAAAGACTGTGCTGACTGAAGACACACAGTTATGCTATTCCAAAATCTGTAACATCTGAAACTGCAGATGTAGTTTTACTCAGTAGCAAAAATGAAAATTACACATTTTAAATACAACAATCCTTTAACTATTTGCTTTGAATGCAGCAACTATGAATCTGGAAAACAAAATATAGTTAAAACAGGTAGATCAACAGGTACCAACATCATTTCTTCAGAGATCTAAAGTAATGTTCACGTCATTTTCCCTTATCTTCCTTAGGCTTTTCCTCTTGGTAAGTGAGGGGACCTTGCACTACAGAAAGACACTGATTAGTACTGCATCTTCCACATTCTTAGGCAGACTATGGCCTGGATTACAGCACAGGATTTTTGCAAGAGATGTCATATTTCTAGAACCAAGGTCAATTTATGAGAAGCACCAGGAATCACTGGAAAATTAGTCTCTTTCACTGCTTGTAGTATTTGCTAGCATTTTTTTATACAGGGTTTGACAGCCTCATGCTTAAACCACAGGCACCAAACACTGGAGAAGTGAAGAGACACATGGATCAAGCTAGTAAAATTAAGTGTCAGTCAACAGGAATGGAATAAGTCCCTCAGCCCCACTTCGGTTCAGATTTGTGCCCTGAACCCAATTTAATTTTAAGTACATAAATCACTGCATCAATAAATCAAATTAACACTTTTCTTTAAAATTAAACAAATAAACAAAGTTTGCGTTTCCATTTCAAGCTTTTGAGCTAAGGCTTGAAGTCTGGTGCAGGACACGATGCCACTCTCACAGGCATGACAGAAGGCTTACTGTCCTCTGCTTCACACTCACCTGCCCACGCTCTCCTCCGCAGCATTCGAATTCTGCAGCTCCGTCCGTCCGTCCGTCGGTCCGTGTGCCTGGATGGGGCGCTCTCGCTGCGGGCAGCGCTGTCCTGGCCGGCCCGGACGCGCTGGGGCCGCGCCGGGAGCCGCGCAGGGCAGCGCAGCCCGCCCGGCCCGGCGGGGGCGGCGGCGCAGGGCAGGGCCCGCCGGGGCAGGGCAGGGCCCGCCGAGCCGCCCCTCCGCGCGGCGCGGGCGGATTACGGCCGCAGCCCGAGCGCCTAAGCCCGGCTCACCGGGAAAAGCAGCTCGAAGGGCTTTGCGATCCTGTTAAGTTCTCGGAGAGGATCAAGACGTCAAAGGGGCTCGGCGGCGCCCCGGCACATTTCGTGCCACGCCGAGGAAAGTTGGGAGCCCGGCGCGGGCAGGGCAGGGCAGGGCCGGCCCGGGGCCGCCGGCGGAGCGAGGAGCCGCAGCCCCGGGCGGCGAGACGAGGAGCGGCGGGGCCGTGAGAGGCGGCCACACGCGCCCCTGCCCGCGGCAGCCGCTGTGCCGCGGCGGGGCGGAGCCGTGCCGGGCGGGCCCTCACCCCTGTCCCCCGTGCCGGGCGGGCTCTCACCCCTGCTCGCCGGGGCGGGGGGCACGGCCCCAGCGCCCCTGGGCCGGGCAGGGTCCGGCTGCCGCCATCCGCCCCTGCCGCGCCTCAGCCGCCGCGGGCCGTGCTGCCGGGAGAGCCCGTGCGGAGCGGGAGGCAGGAGCGCTCGGGGCCGGCACGGAGAGCCGGCTCCCCGCTGCCCTCCCCTCTCACACAGCACCCGCGGCTCCTGCATCTGCCGCCGGCGGAGGGGGTACTCAGGAGGGCGGCTGGGGACGTGCCGCTGCCGCTCGAAGTGCTTCCCCGTCGGCAGCCATCGGGGAGTGCATTTCCCGGGCTCTGGCTCCGCCGTCCCTGCGGGTCCTGCCCGAGGGGAGCCGCGAGGAGACGGATGGAGCCCCACAGCCGCTCCCGGCACTGCTGCTGGGACCGGCACCCTCTCCATCGTGAGAGGCGCTTCTCCTCGCCGTACCGATGGATAGGTTTCTTCTGCAGCTCTCTGGCCCTTGCTGCCTGACCTCCTTGAGGGTGCTGACCCTCATTTTCCTGTGCTGGAGTTACCTCCAGGCTTTCACGCTCCCCCGAACGCCATCTGTTTAGTTCTGATTCTGCTTTTCACAGGGTTCAGAAGAGCTGGAAACAAAGAGTGTGTATGATTCATAAAATGATTTTTCAGCTGGGAAATGTCAGCAGAAGCCATGTCATTCCTAACTGAAAGGCTGCTGCACTTTGCTGCATGTCAATTGAGCTACATTGAACACAACGGGACATTAGAAAAGCATTCTGAGTGCTCGGGTTATTATCGTGCTTGTCAAGAAAGATGAACCTCATCACACAGAAAGGGCTGAGGAGAGGAAAAGACCATGGCTAAAACTCTTAAAATCCCATCAGAATCTCGAGGTGTCTGTCTCCTATAGCTGTCACACCAGTCTTCAGAGTAACAGGGTTTTTAAGGATTAGAACATAAACCCTAGGCAGAAAAGCAGAAGGCAGAAAGCATTTAAAGAGCATCCTTTTTCATGTCCTGTGCTGCTGGGCTGACTCCTCAGGAGTTCTCCAGGCAGCATTTTGGAAGCACTGGGAATGCAGCTAACCAGCCAGGTGTGCACCAAGTGCCAGGCTGCTGTTGTCCCTCCAAAGGCTCCAGCACTGGTTGCACTTCCCAGGTGTTCCATGTAGATCCTTGCAGGGCCTGGCTTCCTCCTTAGACAAGGTTTTACATCTTGCTCTTATGTTCTGGTTGCAACATGAAGGAAGCCTGTGAATAGAGCACAGGAAAAGCTATGGAGACTTCCAGAAGGTCCCAGATATGGACATTAAGGGGATCAGGCTGAACCAACAAAAATGAATGTCCACATCCAGAAGGGCACCACTGTCCAAAGTCTGTTGTTGAATTCAGTAGTACTGCTGCAAGGGAATTCTGGAGAAAAGATTGTGTTAAAGTTGTAATACATCTTCACAGTACCTCTAAACCAGTTGCCTAGGAATTGAAGATGACAGGAATAAAAAATTCTGTTTTCTTTTTCCATTTTCTGAGTTGTTAAGTGTGAATTAAAACATGCTTATTCAGGGAGAAAATGTTGCTTCTTTCCAACATATTCATCATTTCCATGAAATTTTCTTTCCAAGTTTAGTTCTTGCTTCATTTGTACAATCATTAAGCCAGTCCCCTGAGAGCCATCAACAAGTATGTTCAGCCTGCTGACAGCTGCAAGGTATCATCCATCAAAATTATTATGTTCATCAAGGCACTACTGATGATTTATCTCAGTGGCCTAAAGTTATTGGTCTTAGATAGACACCTCTTTAAAACACAACCATGAATTACCATGTCTAATTTTAACAAAGCATTTTTCAGTTTTATATGCAAACTAAAGAATAATTTTGTACCATAATGTATGCAATTAAGCAAAGCCTCCATGATAGTTTATGACTGGAAATTATAATTAATAAGAAAAGGAAAATCTGGAGTTCCTGCACAGTTGGACTTCAGTGATCCTTGTGGGTCCCTTCCAGCTCAGGATATTTTATGATTCTGTATAATGATAGAAAGGAGTGAGAAAAGCATCCTTTCACTGCAGTAATTTGCCAGTTCTCAGTTGCTGTAAACTGATATAGGTCCCAGGTAATCAATGGAGTTGAGTTTATTTACAGTACCTGGCTTTGCCTACACAGCTCCCTTTTGAGGAGCTCTGACATTACTCTGATAGTTCTCTCGAGACTGCTGTGCTCTGCAGTGAAGCGCTGCCAGGATGCATGACAAAAGAGTAAGGTGTAATAAATAAATAAATAAATAGAGGAATGTGTTATAAAACCTCATTTTCTTCAAATTGAGAAACCATAATTTCCTGTTTGCAATGTAGCTTTGCCCTGTTTCTCCTGATTGTTCCACTTCAGAGGAATTAAATGAACCAAGATCTGTGAAATAATTGGACTGAATTGCCAACCTTAGAAAAGCTCATTTGGTTTTGTTCCCAAGAGAAACACTGATTAGATCTGCCTTAGAAAGCCATTCTCATTTGAACAATGTGAGTTATGATTCGGAGAGAACCTGCAGGATTGGAGCTCCAGTGAACAAAACTGTGACATCAACATGTGCAAATGCAAGACAAAAAGATTCAAAAGACAGAATAAATAGAAACAAACAATAGAAACATCCAAATGAGGCATGTGAAATCCACATCATAGGTATTTTCACAGTTTTTGAACAGCCTGATCCTGTGAGGAACTGACTATTGTAGAAAACTGAACATAGCCAAGCTTCTTTCATAGACTAGTCCCACCAGAGCCAAGGATGTCCTGATAAATAAAAGGAAATGGTCACACGTACCTGTGTAGTGTCCTACAATGGAATCTCCATGTTGTCCTAAGTATAAGTGAACAAGCTCTAGTTATTTTACCTTACTCTGCACCACTGGGGTGAGGTCCAGTAAGGGGGCAAGATAAGGGTCTGGTATTCTTTTTTAACCAAAATTCATGAGCTTTTACCTGGCTGGAGTAAAAATAAATTCTGAATGCAAGTAGCTGCTGTGTCCCTTTGAAATCAATGAAAAGCATCCCCCAGGTTTTGGTGTAACAGGGTTGGGTCCTTGTTACACACACAAAAGCCTGAGCATCCACCTAAAACCAGGCATTTTTTCAAGCAAAATCACAGTGCAAGCTCTGCAAAGAATGAATGGTAACCCTCTAACTTTGCTTGGTGACGGAGGCATTGCCCAAGAGCAGAGCAGGGCAGGGACAGGTGAGGATCCTTCCCCCCCTGCCGTCCCAGCAGTGCTGCTCAGCTGGAGCAGTTTGGTCACACAGTTTTGGAGCAGTTTTTCCACAGGTGCCCCAGCCCGCTCTCTGTCACAGGAGAGCCCCAAGGGATGGAGAGCACACGGTCACCTGTCAGCAGGGGCACTGGCTCCTGGCCCAGGAGAGGTGTGGAAATTCCTGCTGACTGCGAGCCGAGCTGAGAGCTCCCTCACCATCCTGTGTGAGTCACACTGCCTGAAGACACCGGCTCCTACAGAGGAGCGGGGAGCTGTGGAATTCTCCTGTGGAGTTTCGTGCTCCTTTATTTAAACAAACACCTTTGCAAATGCAGCCTTGTTAGTGTTCCCCAGGTGGCTAGCTGCAGATAATAAGTATACACAATAGCACTTCTTTTGTTATTATGGTTCTCAGGACAATCCTATCCCTTAATGAAAATAAAACTATCCTGCTGTCTCTTAGGGGAATTTCAGCAAAATGCTAGTCAGGCCTGAGGCACAGGCTGGGAGACAGCCCAGCTCCTGCAAACAGAATGAATTGACATTTCCATTTTTGTGAATTCCATTTCACATAATGGTGGTCCATTAGCAGCAAGCACAGGAAAGAGAGATACTTATGTGAAATATAAATTAGGGCTTAAGAACCTTTCCCATTGTGCTGTATGATGGCAGTCACTGCCATTGCTGGGCCTCACTAATGAGTCTGCAGAAAGCCAGCTGACAAGTCTGCAGCCAAATGTTGGTAATCACAGATTAAAGACGTCTCTTTCATGAACTCAGAAATATCTTTACTTGGATCTAATTACAGCAGCCTGCACAGGCTCTGTGATGGACTGTTCTGAGATAGAGGAGACAATTGATGAGTGGTAGATCTCTGACTGCTGTCTGTAAGCACTGAGTCAAGTTGTAAACTTAGAACTACAGAAATGAAAGAACTAAAAAATGTGTATAGGAGGGCTACTGGGAGCTAACAGCTCCAAGTGTCCTTGTTCCGACCCTCATTGTTCTGACCTTCATTTCAACAGCAGTTTGAGTAGTCAAATGCCTCTTGCTATCTTACATATATCAGTGACTATCCTATCCTATCCTATCCTATCCTATCCTATCCTATCCTATCCTATCCTATCCTATCCTATCCTATCCTATCCTATCCTAACTTCATTTTAGGGGTTGCAACTAAATGATCTGTAAGGTTCAACCCAAGCCATTCTATGATTCTATGATTTGTCTTGGAGTTTTTTAGGCAACACCCTTTATTTCCATCTG